TTATTATTATTATTATTGTTGTTGTTGTTGTTGTTGTTGTTGTATAGTTTACTTTTTAGGTAATCTAAAGCTTGCTTTAATTTCAAAGGTGAATTAACTTTTGTTTACGTTGGGCCACATTTTACAGGAAGAAAAACTTTTTAAGGAATATGCTCATATAATTTGTACTTTCCCAAATTAAACAAAAGGCAATGTTCCTATTATTAGGATTATTTAAATAACGTGTTAAATTTTGATTCTTCTTCTTCTTCTTTTTCAAGTGAACTTAATTATTTATTTATTAAAAATACTTATTATTAAAAAAAAAAAAAAAACTTAAAGACAATAGTATTAAATTTGAAACGATGATAAAATCTATACTTTTTAAAATTTTAATCTTATAATTCATTTCGAACTCAAGTTTTGATTGAACCCAAGTTTCGATCATACTTGTGATCCTAACTAACATGAATTCTCTCTGAAAAGAAACTCTGAATTCTTTCCTTCTCTCAAAGTGTTGATTGTAAAGATTGAATATTAGGAGTGTAAACAATATAAGCTAAGCTCGAACCTAGCAGGTAGACTTGAGCTCGATCAAGCTTAAAATTTAGACTTGAGTAGTTTGACTTGCTAATTTTTTATAAGGCTCAAACTTGGTTTGATTAATTCGAATTGAGCTCAAGTTTGAAATATAAATATGTGTATGTGTATTTTTTTTTTTTTTGTTTAATTATAAAGCTTGAACTCGGCCAACGTACTACTATTTAGTTTGATGACACTTCTGTTACCAGTCTAAATAGATGGTCACGGGATCGGACCTCGGTAGTGGAGGTTGTGTAAAGAATCATGAGTGTTTCAAAAAAAATAAAACTTGATGAACTCGGTTCAATTAACTCAAATAGAGCTTGATCTTAACCTTTCTGTGTATGCGCGCGTGGGAGGGGAGGCTTGCGAGCAACTCAATGAGTCAAAAAGTATTAAATTTGAGCTTGACGTTTGGTTAAGATGAATGGGTCTCTTCCACTAAGTCACACATAAGTTCATTTAGCAATTCAGATGGTAAAGCATAAATAATCCCCAATACATCACCTACTATGTATAAATTTATAATCATAATTAGTAATAAAAATTCAAAACTAAGCTAATTATTTAAAGAAATTTATATTGTTCTATATATAAAGATTTTGATAGTTTGTACCCTACCGCTCTCCTAAACAACAATACAACTACATTGATGCATAAGGACGGTGGACAAACTACTTGGCTACTACAAATACTAAAAAAATTAATTTAAAAATAAAAAGGTAAAACGATGATTAAAATAATTATATTTAATGTGAAGATAAAGTCAGAAATTTGTCTTTTGTGTTTCATGTTAAAGAATTCGAGCCTGATTTTTCTTTAAGTAAAAGTCAAGTTCTATATGCATGACTAGAGTTGAATCTGGATTAGTCTTATAATGGCGAAGATATCATACATCATGTACAATTGTTTTTTTTTTTTTTTTAATTATGATTTACCATTATAAAAACTCGAAGGACTTTAGGAACGCAATTATTGAGTATGATTTCTAGGAAAGTTAGACAAGCGGATTAATGAAAAAAAATATCCTTACTTTATAAAAGGTCAATTCATACAAATTAAAAAAAAAAATTAAAAGTAAGAAATTGAAAAAAAAAATCAATTCATTATTGGTCAACATCCTTCTTTAACTTTTTATTTATTATTTATTATTTTAGGAAGAAGAAAGTGTCCATATTTTGATTAATGAGTTGCTGATGAGGTGATAATAAAGCAAGCCCCGGTATCAAAAGGCTACAAATGAAAATCAACAAATTATTTCCACCTTAGTTTTATCATTAAGAGAGATCTGTTTTTTTTTTTTTTTTTTTTTAATACTTATAATTATTTACAATATTAATTATATATTTTCTCAAATATTTTCAGGCCACAAAATTTAAGTTCCCACCACCAAGATTTGACCTATGACCATCCATTTAAAATAGTAATCGAGATGTCATCACACTACATCGTAGTTGGCAAGAGAGATCTATTTATATATATATATATATATATATATATATATATATATACACACACACACACACACAATGCTTCCTCTAAAAAAAATATGAATTAATCTCATTCATCTATATAAGTTAATCAATGTCTGGAATTTTATTTTTTTTTTAGTACATATTTTCAAGCCGTTAATAAACCTGGATAGATTGGCAGGATTAATACTCATTTTTACGGGTGATATTAGTCGGGAGAATTCAACATTCGCGTATATATTTGGCCTTATATGTTGAGTCATTGAGTCACTGTGATTTATCTCTTCCAAACGCTCTGTCGGGCTGAGGTGTGGAGGACCCTTAAAATTGGGGATTCACCTTTTGGGAGAAGATCTAGGGCTATGGATATCTAAAATTTATTTCGAATTGAATTATGGCTCAAATTAATATATTTATTTTTAAATTTCAATTTGAATTGGTCCAAATGAATCGGTTTCGGTTTTGATTTGTTTGATTTGAATGTTCGTCTTACTCATTGTATCTGGGGAAGAAAACAAAGGAGAAATTAACAACAGAAAATGACATTGATTTCATGAGAAATTACTCTATACCATTCATTGAATATGACATTATGGAATTTTATTTTTTTAATAAATGATTTTTTTTATAGGGATGGGAAGACTGTTGAAATTTTCTTTCTAAAAATAAAAAATAAAAAATCACACAAATTATTTAAAAGTGATGATGCCATTAACTGATTAACTCACTCACTTCTTAACAATTTATTATTTTAATTTAACTTGTTATAAACCAATTTATCAGTAATTAATGAATTTTAAAAAAAAATTCAAATAATGTCAATTTAGAGTGATTTTATTGGAATAGCATATATATATATATTACATTATTTTATGTCCATGCTTATCCAGTCTTGGCATATGTGATATGTGGATGCGACTTGTATAAATTCTATTCCATGGGTTATATAGAATAAATAAAGAAATGTCTCTTCACACACTTTATCAGGACCAATAACAACTGAGATAAAGTTTTACTGTTTAAGTGATTTAATTTTGAGAATAATACATTTTTTATCCTTCAAGATCAGTAGTTAATATAAAATTCGTCTTTTAATTGATTTACAAATGTCGTTATCTAATTTTTTATCTTTGTTGCGAAACTGGTCTTTTGACTGATAGAGCTAAAAAAAAAAAAATATATATATATATATATATATATATATATATATATATATATATATATATATATTGTTTGTAATTACAATGTTTGATAATGTCAAATTATTTATCCTTTATTGATTATTAGTCTTTAATTTTAAATGATTGTAGTGTTATAATTACAAGATTAATGTAATGATAATTACTTTTTTTCCTTACACACATATATCTCGATAACTAAAAAGTTGACAACACCGAGCCAAGAAAATTTAAAAAGAGAAGATATATGAAGCCCTCTAGAAGTTGATTGTACACATGAAGGTCATGTGGAAGGCTGTGATTTCTCATTTTCTTGCCCACCCATCCCCACACTGATTTGTTTCTTTGTATATATATCTGATGGGTGTGCTTATTTATTTATTTTGAGCAAATATTATGAAAAATCGTGGTGTATATTTAAGGATTAATGTACACACCATAACTATTATTGAGTCAGCAATTTTTGGCATCTTTGGACATACATTTGCCCGCACGGGCTTAGCTCAATAGTTCAGTAGGTAATATTTGGGAGCAGAGGCCAATGTTCGAACCTCGGCGGCGGCAATGTAGAAATTATGTCCAAAGTGGGCAGATTCCTTGTGCGCACCGACATTTGGCCCTATCTGTTGAACCATTGAGTTACCGTGATTTACACTCTCTCAAATGTTCTGTCAGACCGAGGTGTGAGGAGTCCTTAGAGTTGAGGATTCAACCTTTTAGGAAAGACCGTGATTTACACTCTCTCAAATGTTCTGTCAGACCGAGGTGTGGGGAGTCCTTAGAATTGAGGATTCAACTTTTTGAGAAAAGAAGAGTCAGCAATTTTTGGCATCTTTGGACATACATTTTGGTTGACCTAGACAAAATCTTAAGGGTTTAATTTACAATCAATTTAAAAGCTTTGTTGATATTGTTGAATCAATCTGGTCCAAATTTCTTTCATTTTTTCTCTGCTGTCACTCTTGTTGTGTTCACTATTGTGGCTCACATAAATGAACCGTGACCTACTATGGCACAAATTTCTTTCTTATACTAGTTTAGTGTTTTTATTTGAATTTTGAGAATTTATTATTATTATTATTATTATTATTATTATTATTAATGTGCATTTTCCCTCAATAAAATTACAATATTTTGTGTAATATAATAAATTAATTAGAATTTTAAACACTTAAGTATGAAAATGAGTTGATTAAGATAAAGGAATAAGTCAAGCAAAATAAGAAAACATATTTAAATAGATAAATAAACATTGGATACTTTAAAGGTGATTGTATTATATGATTATTATAAAATAATCAAGAAAAGGCTAAGATTATATGCAAAGGGTGAATAAAGGTAACAAAAGTGCAAAAAAGAAAAAAGAGTATTTCATTTGAACACGAAGCTTATATTGCTGAAGTAATTAAAAACAAAACAACCAGCAGCTTCTATAGCTAACTAACTACGACAAATGTATCTCTGCATAATATTGAAAGTGTGCTTACAAGAGAAATTCAAACTGGAGTAAAGAAAACAGAAAACAAAAAATATGTTCCTTGTATATTTCTCCAATTTAAAGAACGAGGACAGACAATGAAAAAGTGGAGAAAAGAAAATTGGAAAATTGGAGTAGACGCAGATGAATACCGTAGATATGATTTGGTATTCAGAGAGTATACTAGTATAGAAGTAGAATAGGATCAAAACTGGCTTCATAACCATGAAGGCTAAAGCAAAAGTAACACCCAAATTGCGAACGCCCAGAAATAGGAACCTTGAACTATGATTCCCTGCAATGTTGTGTATTTGGCAACAGATAAGTTCATAATACAAGATGCAATGAAACAAGAGCTTATAAATCTCTTCAAGGTTTTTTTTATGAATATCAACAAGAATTAGTTAATGGAAGGTAAACCACAAACCCCCTAGGGATTTCCTAAACAGCAAGTACAGTTAGTTTTATAGCTTTACAATCAGTGCCATTTATTCAATACTTGTGACTTATGATTAGAATATAGTTGCCATCATATTTGCAAACATGAAATAGAACAAACATGTCTCTTCTTATTTCATCTTTACCCCTTCCTTCAACTCAGAAGCTAGCATGCTCTGATTTAAGCATAAAGGTGGGTGAAACTTCACCCTTGCAAGCAAATCCAACAGACAATCACGTGACCCAACATGTACCAAACAAAAACTTCAAAACTTACTTCAGTACTTCCCCACAAACTAACTTTCAGTTATCAGACAAGACAAGAAACACTTAAACTTGAAAACCTTGTTTTCTCTGCAATATCTTCCTATCTCTTTTTCTCTCCTTCTATCCAGGGCAAATAAATCATTGTAGTTGATACAGCACAGTGGCACACGGAATCATGGAATAAAAGTTACCATCAGTTTCTGATAAGCACCCAAAATAAGAGATAGTTTACTCAGAAAAAGGAATGAAGAAATTCAAGAAAATCAGGCAAATCAGAATACATAAGGAAAGACTTAACTCAAGAGATTTGACAAGAATAAAATCAAAGGCATAATCATCTCCTTTCTATAATTATTTATTCCCTAGCACTATAAATTAGAACCTCTAGATGAGAGTAAACGATCCAAACTTTACCCTTAGTCTTTAAGCTTTAGTAGCTGGGGCAAGAGCCTAAAACTCTTGTTGGGGAAAGTCTTAGGACTTCCTGTTTCTTTATTTCAGTTTCTAGTCAATAAAAATACATCATTGTTCTTTTCTCTAACAGTTTCTAGCTATTTTTAATTTTTAATTATGATTAGTAAGTCCTCTGCAAGACACATTGGGGTCTCTTCATGACATCTAGGTTTTTTCCCTCTTTTAGAAACATGCAAGCAAAAGTTACCTTTAACCTTGTGAAATGAGGGATGGCATAATCACATCAAGTATTTCAAAGGAAAGATAAGCCCAATACCTTCAAAGTCAAAATAGAGGATGTTGCAGATGAATCTTTTAGTCCTGAAAAACCAATATCATAAGAGATCCTCCCATCAGGTTTGAATAATCCATAGTTCTTCTCAGACAATTGGCCTTGCTTCAAATCCTCATTAAAAAGTGCAAAAACATACACCTTCAGCGCTGTTTTTGGCCTCAATGGAGTTCCCTTCTTCTTTGCAAGTCTTTTCCGCAAATTGTAATTGTATGTCCTAGCATTATCTACTGTAGCAGCAGGTTCATTCTGCCCACCATGTGAAGCCCATCCTGTTTCTGTAACTACAACTTCCATTTTTCTAAATCCAGCATCTTCCAAAGCTGCATATGCTGCATCAATCTGAGCATCAAGCAAATTATCATAATGAAGAGCAGGTTTCTCATCATAAATGCCCTTATTTGAGTTAAAGAGAGCATAGTTCATATCAATCTTGTCTGAATCATATGTGTACGCCAAGAAGGGGTAAGCATTTAAACAGAAAGGGGATCCTATCTGGGAGAAGAATTCTAAAAGTGGTTTCATGAGTTGAGCAACATCCTCTTTAAAAATACACGAGGAAGGAGGGAATGAATTTGCAAAAACAGCTTGTGAATGTGCAGTTGTTATCTGAATAGCATCACTAATTCCCAGATTTTTTGTGGCATTATGTAAATTTTTTACAGCATTCAGTAAAGCTGCTGACAGTTCAGAATCACTCCCTGCCAAAACTTCATTACCCACAGCAATCCCAACAATGTGTGTGTCAGGAAGGAATGCCTTCACATTATCCTTTACCCAATTCAGTGCATGATCTGCATTAGCACTCATATCTTTTACATTTCCATTTGAAAGTCCAACCACTAACTCAAGCCCAGTTCCTCTAAATGCCTTAATGACACTGTGATCTGCATCATAAATCCTAACATTTTTTATCTTTGCTGCTCTTAGGAGTTTAGCAACTTCATCCGGTGAAGGGATGTTATCTGCAATTCTTCCATAATTAATCCCATAAGTTCCAGTGAATGCTCTCACACTGAGTTTACCTGAAAATTAAGCAGCGAATGCCCTTGTGTCAAAAAACACAAAAGGAAACATAAAAAGAACAGCTCCACGAGATTATCCAGGAGACCATCAGGCATATTAGAGATATCAATGCATACACAAAAGAGCAATAAGCTAAAATAATTCCTGCAGTTTCCATTTATAGGTCCTAATATCACATTTTTTGCCATTTGTCCCGACACTATAATTGAGTTAACACAATAATCAGCAAAGAAAGAAGTTCTCCTGTAAAAGGCTTTTCAAATTTAAATCCAGTTATTTCAGCAGACTCTTTGTGGAAAATAAATAAGGTTTATTATTTTAAATTATATACTTATTAAAATAAATAAATAAAACCTAGCTGCAAAGCACCTTGTACTCAGATGGCATGCAGTCATGAGATCGAGCCTATGTGGAGGCATTGTTGACTTTGTGTGCTTCATTAGGTTGAGAAAGTATGTTTGAATAGATACTACAATGTAATAGAGTCAGTAGCATTCAAAAAAAATAAATAAAACCTAGCTTTCAGCACATAGATAAATCAATCAATGGTATTCCTAATTCAGTAGGCATATGTCATCAACCAACCGACAGAAGTTACGCAGCACCCTTACATGGAGTAAATACTTGATTGAAAATCATTCATTACTGTGCTAGTGTGCTCACAATGAGCAAAGTCAAGTGTATAATCATACTCGAATTCAAAATAGAGGGGGGGAAACTATTAATAAAACCTAAAAACTAGAAAACTTTTAGTAGAGAAAAGGGAGAATCAAATATATTGAAGCAAAATTGTGGCCCTTCATGATCCAATAAATTATCATCCTCCATGATCTTTAACAGCAGCAAACTTCACAGAATCACCACAATAGCCAAAAAAGTTCTATAATTAGTTATTTTATTTCTTTAACAACTCCATCAGACCATCAACATACAGAGTCTAATAGTTAAAAAAGAAAGGAAATAAATTATTCAAAAGCAGAGAAAGATTACCGTTATGATTGCAGAAGAGGAACAGTAGAAGAATCAATCGCAGAAGAATAAACGAAATCCTCATAGCTCCGAGGCAAAGATCGATGACGACGACTCCCTCTCTGATTCAGCAAATGCACAAGCTAGCTAAGCTACCTCAAACTTCATCATCCATTGTGAATGATACAACTCCTTTGCTTCCCCCCATATATCCATACGGTATTATAAGTTGCTGAATTGAGCAATAAACCCGAGCCTATACACAGGAATTGCAATAAACGTGTCTGTATACGTACGAAATGGAAGGTAAAAAGTAAAGAAGAAGAAGATGATGATGATGAAGAAAAAGAAGAAAGAACGCTTTCTGTTTATTGGATTTCGGATTTTTGGCGGTCCGTCTCAGTTAGTAATGACAAATTATATTGAAAAATGAAAATCATGAATAAATATTGACTTTTAATGTATTGAAAGTTCATTATTTAGTATACTAATCAATATGATTGACATGTGGTTCAGCACATCGTCTCTTAAGCATAAAGTTATAAATAGAGTCAATTATTTTGTCAGTCCTCTACTACTTAATGTGTTGATAATAGGGACGGAGATTAGTCTGTAGTATACGAATTTCAGTTTAGGCATTAATTCTTTGTGGTTCAATAGATTTTTAAAAATATGTATTGAACAAATATTATATTATAATAATAGAGTCTGTAGAACTCAAAAATAATAATACTCAGTAATAAATTTTTAGTATATAAATAATATATTTTTTTAAAATAAACATTTAATTTATTAAAATGTATTTTTAATATGTTAAAAAAGTATTTTATATTAATAATCCATCTTGCAAGGTGGATCTTTATCGATGATATAATGACTGGTTAGTAATAGCGTCATTATTAAATTATACGATATTTTGGTTAAAAATACTTCCATCGTTATAATTTCAATCATCTTTTTCAACTATTATTATCATACACATACATCCACCATATATTTTATTATCTTCTTCAATTGTATTAAATATCACATTTATAAAAAAATAGTTATTATTATTATTATTATTATTATTATTATTATTATACAATAATATAAGTATCTAAAATCTAAATAAATCTAAAAATTTAATATAAAATACTAATATTGGACACCGAGTTGTGTGCATCGCGCATAGAAAATAATAATAATAATAATAATAATAATAATAATGATAATAATGATAATAATGATAATAATAATAATCATCATCATCATCATCATCACCATCATCATCATCATCATAATAATAATAATAATATGGTAATGGACTGATGGTGGCGCCGGTGGTGTTGATATTTGTGGTGATAGTGGTAGTGATAGTTCAAGTGATAGCATATCATCTATAAAAAAACGTGAACACATACCCTTCATATTGAAAAATCAAAAGTTATAATTTTACCGTTACTAAATTTTCAAATTTATAATATGATGTTACAGTTACTAAATTTTCAAATTTATAATAATTACTAGTTTTTTACGCGCATTGCGCGATTGGGATAATGCCCAATGTTTTTTTTTTTTAAAAAAAATAAGTACTTTAAAGTATATCAAGACAAGATTATATTGGAATTGTTCATGCATAGATAATTAAATGTTGAATTTGCGTATTTAAATATGTAATTCTAAGTTTACAAATGCAAGATAATATAGTCAAGATTGATTATAATTGTCAATAAAATAATTGTATAGGTATGGTTGAAACCAAATACGGGACATAAGGGAGAGTAAATAAAAATTAGGGCATAAAATATTAAATATACACTAATATTGAAGAGCTAATTGATGATTGCCAAACAAAGACATTGCGAGATAGTTTTCTACTTCAATTTGTTGTGTGATTTGAATATTCTTGTTGTCAATAAATCCCCCAAGTAATTAATATGATTGACTTAATTATATATTTTTTTATTTTTTATTTTTTAAAACTATTATTATTATTATTATTATTATTATTATTATTATTATTATTATTACTATTATTACTATTATTATTATTATTATTATTATTATTATTATTATTATACCCTTAGCTCATTTTACAAGTTAATCTAAACAATTATTTTTTTCAAATATATTTTTACCAACCATTGATATAATTCGCTGGTCAAATTCGCTAATATAATCCGCTAACGCTAACCGCTAACTGCCGAGTGTCAAACAAGGACATTGCGAGGTAGTTCTCACTTCAATTTTTTGTGTGATTTGAATACTCTCCTTGTCAACAAATCCCTCAAAGTAGTTAATATGATTGGCTTTATTAATTTTTTTTTTTTAATTTTTTCATTGTATTAATAAAATACTTGGTAAATAAATATATAACATTATTTTGTATTATAACTTTATCTTTAATTAAAAAATAGTGCACAAAAAAAGATAATAGACAATGTAGTGAATATAATCAATTGATGAATTTGAATGTAAAGAATTTTTAAATTTGAGAAATATAAAGACAATATAACTAATAAAATTATTTCTCTTAATTAATTTATTGATAATGAATAAATTTTTTTTTAAATAAAGCATTGTAGGGACAATGTAGCGAATATAATCAATTGATGAATTTGAATGTAAAGATTTTTTATATTGGAGAAAAATAAATACAATATAACTAATGAAATTATTTCTGTTACTTAATTTAGGGAAAAGGGTCAAATAAGCCCTCGAACTTTTAGCCAGGAGTCAATTAAGCCCCTAAACATTCAAAAGTTACAATTACATGCATGAACTTTTAATTTTAGTGCATGGAGACCCAATTACCGGGAAATCACCTGCAACTCCCGGTAAAATCCTCCCTGGATGCTGACTGGCCACCATATTCCTTGCCACTCAACCAAAAAAAAAAAAAAAAAAACAGTGATACCCAGACCTCTAGTTGCGGGGCTCAATCTCTCACCATCAATCCCCTTTTTTAGCATTCTCTCGAACCCTCTTGGAATCTCTTTTTTCTTATGTTCTTTGGAGAAAATATATTCTTTATCGGCGCCCCTAAGAACCCAAACAAAGTTATGCTCGCTCCTCTCCAAACCGGTGGCGATTTCTCGAATTTGTGGGTGGTGGTTCCGAATGAAACGAATATGACAGAGTTTTTTTGTTTGGTTGTCTAGCTAAGCTTGAATTTTGTGGCGCTGTTGGTAGAATGGTGGGTGCTTTTGGAGGCACCATTAATGACGTGGACAAGGTTGAAAGGTTCAGGGACCTATTGTTTCTTCTTCCCACTAATTTTTTCTCTGGAAAAGAAGTTCAAGAAAAGGGCCTTCCAGTGCTCTGCATGTGTTGTAAATTCTGCCAGAATTGAATTTCAAGAAATCGTATTGACCTTTGAGGAAACACTCGAACTCAGGGCTGAAACTTCCTTTGAGGGAAGGGGGATCTCTGAGGATGTCGGCGTCAACGGCGAAGGGCTTGCCCATCTTTTCCGTCTTTATCTACAATTCTCTGTTTTGCCAAATTTTAGAATTAAGTTACTTCATAATTGAAAACCACTAATAACTCAAATTCTGGTGGACAGAGATCTGCTACACCGCTTGCACAGAGTCACAATTTTGTGCACTCGGATGATTATTTAGTTTTGGAAGATGAGGGTGGAAGAGTCAAGCTGAGTGGCAGTTTGTTATTGCCTTCGACATATGTAACTGGTTCGCATTATTAGTTGCTACACGATCTTTTCCCAAATGAAGAAGAAAATAGTGAAGGCGGAGGCGCTGGGGAATCGACGCCGTGTTTTCGTTTCGTTTATTTATTTTACTTTTGTTTCAGTTTTTTTTGGTTGACTGGCAAGTCAAATTGTTAAAGATGGTGTCCAGTCAGCATTCATGAAGGATTTTACCGGGAGGTATAGGTGGTTTTCCGGTAATTGGGTCTCCATGCACTAAAATTAAAAGTTCGTGTGTAATTGCAACTTTTGAAAGTTTAAGGGCTTAATTGACTTCTCGTGGAAAGTTTGAGGGCCTATTTGACTCTTTTCCCTTTAATTTATAGATAATGAATAATTTTTTTTTGAATAAAGACATTGTAGACACATAATTCTAAATTAAAGAATGCATATGTATTATTTTTTGTTGTAGCTACTAAATTATTACGGAGTATTTTTAATTTAATAAGAGTAAAATAGAGTACTAATTATGTCAACTTTGATTGGGATGAGGTTCGAACCTAAGACCTTTCTTATTGAAATCAATGAGTAAGTTAATGGTGAACTAACAGAAATTAACGGAAAAAATAATATTTAACGGAAAATCATATTCATTAAGGATAAATTAGGAAATCTTGGAAAAATTAAAATCTGATCAATCTGAACCATTCATTTGATTAAAAAATTTAACCGCCATTTTTTCTACCCATTATAGGCCTAACTCTCTTGGGCTCTTATTAGTATAGTAGATAATATAACTCTGGGTCTTAATTTTTTACAATAATTATAAAATTAATTCTATATTTTTTTTACTAAACATGTTGAGTTAAACCCGTTTTACCAACCAAAGCCTCAAAGGCTCAAACCCTACCTTTTAACTTAATCTTTCATTTCTCAAAAAAATGCCTCCCACAGTCCCACTGGCCCTGTTTGATAAATGATTGTTAGGTGATAACGGTTAGTTGATTGTGATAATTAGAGGGTATAATTAATTGATAACATTAAATGTTGTAGAAAAGTGTTTGGTAATTAGCTGATAGTTGTTTGATATAATTTCTTTTCTAAAAAAGTTAATTGAAAAAGTTGCTAAAAATAATTTTTTAAATTTTAGCATTTTAAAGTTGCAAAGAGCTAACTAACAAAACACTTATATTGATATTTTAACTAAATCAAACAATTAATAGTGATCAAAAACCTAAAATTAGCCTATATTTTACCAAACAGGGCCACTGTCCCACATATTCAAAAAAAAAAAAAGAGTCTTTCAAAAGAAAATAATAATAAACTGAAGGAGGGCTGTTATCGGCGGTCGTGTTGAGCAGCCGCAGGCGTCTCTACTGCAGCGAGGAGTAGAAGCTCACGAGAGTCACAAGCTCACCTCGCCTTCTGTTAGGGGTCACAGGTCACTCCCTATACTTAGCATTTACAGCTATTGATTTGCTCGTTTTCTTTGAGGTCTTGCCTGTGTTTGGAGAAATGAGTAGGTTCCCTTGGTTGCTTTGCTTCATCTATCAAGTTTTGGGGAAAAGGGGGAAAAAAATTTGATCTTTCTGAAGTTCTTATTTATTTATATTTGTTTGATATCTTTACTCCAATTTATCTTTAGGGGTTTTGTTTTCAGTTTTTGGACTTGATGCAAGTAGATCTGGAGTTTCATAACTTTAGTCGAAATATTTGTGTTTGGTTGCTGAAAAACTGCAGGAAGATTTTAGCATTATTAAGTGAGTTTCTTGAAAAACAAGAGCCATGGTGTGTTTAAGATATCTGATGTTTTGCTATAAATTGTTTATACCTCTATTGGAGTCTGTTAATAATACAAGTGTAGCAGAGGTCAAAAATATTTGTGTATGTGTGTTTAGTTAGAACCAGAACTTCCGGTACTGGTTCCAAAAATGGATGAATCTTGACCGGACAAGAACGGGATGTGAATGTTTGGTATTTTCTGAAATGATTATATAGAACTACTATGTAGTGTGATGGCATTGTTACCATTCCAAATGGATGGTCACAGGATTGAACCCGGTGGTGGGGCATTGATTCTTTGGGCTGAAAAAGATTGAGAAAGTATAGAACAGATATTACCTTGTAAATAAATTTTAAAGAATCATGAGTGCTTTCTTGTATGTAGATTGGTTCATAATAGAGAAGAGTTTGATTTCTTATCTCTATATTTAGCATGCAAAAGGCTGGATCTTAACTTCTTCAATTGAATCGAGAAGACTTGATTACCCAAAATAAGAGCTGAATAAGTTAATGGCTGGAAAAGTGTGTTTTCTTTGAATATGGAATGTTTAACTGATGAGATGCTTGGTCCATTCATTTTCTTTCTATAGAATGTGTAGCAATTTGGAAAGTTACATTCTTTCTATAGAATGTACAGAATCAAGTTTGGTTGTCCATCCTTTTTGCTTTGATATATGGTATGCTTTGCTCTGATTATGCTTATGTTTCACTTTATTGGATGACGTTGCCCTTATTTTTTCAGTGTTTATTAGTTTAGCTGTCAATGTCCATTTCTTTGCTTGTACATAATAATGTAAATGGGGATTGGGGGGTCATTCATGAGTTTGAGTTTGTAAGTTTTATTTTTATTTTGGGTTAATTTCATGTGATATTTGGACCTTGAGCTTGATCTGCTTGATTAATCCTAATATGTATTGCAAAATGTTCCATTTTTAGTTGTGTATTCAAGAAAAAAACTTCCCTTTTTTAATTAATGGCATAGGATATCTAGACCCATAGATGTATGCCTAGCTCCCGATCAACATTAATCATTCACAACTTGACACTTTATTAGTGTATTAAAAAATGTAGAAGCTTTTAGAAAAAATCATGTAATAAGAATGCTAAATCATCTCCTCAACTGGTTATGCGAATTTTACTAATATTTCCATGAAAATTGTCTAAACGGAGTTGCTTTAGAGATTAGTCAAACTTTATGAAGATGGCAATAATATTTATGGAACCAACTAAGATAATTAATTGTTAATGTGCTTCACAACATTTCTTCTGCTGTGTATTAAAAAATATATTAAAAATTAATACACACCCTCATTTGAGTGACTAGAATTTATCATAGGGGAGATTAGATGTACTTAACCTTATGCATAAAGTGGCAATCCTTTTGACTTAAAAGGATTAATAGTAAGTAAAGGATATAGAGTGTACCCTATTTCAATTAGAAATGGAAGAATTACCTAATTAAGTTAGAAATAAAATCTTGGAGGGTTTCCTATTAGATTGTTTGCTAAAAGCTATTGTTTTTAACCGTCCAGTTTATTATTTCATATAAGAATAAATAGTTTGAATTTGGGAGGGTTAATTTTCATGCTTAACGGATTGAATAGACAGTACTCAGATTAATGGTACTAGGGTTGTGAATTTTGCACTTAACTATAGGAGCAAAACAGCTGCCTTATAGTCCCTTGATTTTCTAGATTGCTCTTATTTTTATGTTCTTAGATATTGAGCTAAAAGCTTTGTCATTTTTGTTTTTTGTTTTTTTTTTTTCCTTTTACTGCTCAGAAAATAGGCCAATTTTTGTAAGCGGTTAAGGTATTGTCCGAAACCACTTCGGCAGCCCCCTCCTATATCACTGTTGCTGCTCCCCACAGTTCAAATCCCTATCATGACTTCAACCCGAAAATTGAACTGAAAATTCCCATTAATTATAGCAGAGCAAATAACCCACATATCTCCTCTCTGGATTTCAACATGCCCGAGCCAATTTCTATACTGAACAATTCCTTGGCCCGAAATGCCATCTCTTCTTCCACCTCCCCGCCAATTTTAATTGATGGGCGTGAGGAAGATGTGGTTCTGGCTCGATCCAAAGTCTTGCATCGGATGGAGGTTTTGCGGCGACGCTCTCGTCGAATCAAGCAGCTTTCACGGATATATCGGGACTACTACTGGGCTTTGATGGAGGAGGTGAAGCTCAAGTACAGAGATTACTATTGGGAGTATGGAAAAAGCCCTTTTGAAGAAGACAGCGAAGAGAATAACATATCCAACGCAAACCATGTTGATTCTGCCCTGGGAACTGGGGAGAACCCAAACTGCAATACTCTTATCAGTAACAATGGTAGCAATAAGTGCGGGGTATGTAATTGCAAGTCGAAAGCCATGGCTTTGACAAGGTTCTGTCATATGCATATCCTATCAGACCCCAGGCAGAAGCTCTACAAGCCTTGCAGTTATGCGATCAAAAGGTTAGGCCTTTTTTTGATTTCATAAATTATATATTTTGTGAACCAGCTTGGTTGGCGTGAGTGGCCGTGCACTCTCATCCCTTAAGAGAGATCGGGAGTTCAAACCCCTTCTCGTATGGAAAAAAACCAATTTGGCCAGCACTCTGCCCCTTAATTGAGCCGGCCCGGTGCGAATGGGCCAATGGGGATTAGTTTGAGTATCGCAAATTATGCCGTGCAACAATGGTGTACACGGTTGCAAAAACAGCGTCGTTTTGATTAAAAACGACGCATCCAACTTTTAAAAAAAAATCAGTTTCGATTGCCGTTAACAGCGTTATGTTGTGCATAATTTGAACTGTATATCCAGAATGAATGAACTATATATCCAGAATGAATGAACTATATAGTTCAAATTATGCACAACATAACGCCGTTAACGGCAATCGAAACTGATTTTTTTTTTTTTTTTTTTAAAAGTCGGACATCAATACGACGTCGTTTTTGCAACCGTGTGCACCATGTTGCACAGCATAACATTTCTTTGAGTATGGTATGTGCTTAAAGGTGCCTCCTACTGTTAGGGTCTGCTCATGACACCTCATGGTCTAACCAAAATTATCTATTTTGTGTGTATACAAAAAGAACTTCACATGTATATGAGAGGTGTCTTTTCTTGATAAATGAAGTCTTACTGGTCATCTTATGTTTTGAGTTTTTCTTTTGGAAGAACTATATTTACGTAATTTAGAATGGTGCGTGCATGTTTTGTGCAGAAACGTGATTGTGGAGATATATTAGCTATTAGGAATTTGAGTTGTTAACAATATTTGTGTGCTATTTGTTTGCAGTTCTCCAACAGGGCCCATACTGTGTGGGAAGCCAGTTTTGAGATCCATGGTTCCTTGTCTCTGCAGTCCCCATCTAGAGAAGGCGGACAAATATGCAACCCGGGCTTTGAAGAAGGCTGGCCTGAATATATCTTCGACCAGTAAGCTCGCCCCCAAGTTTCAAGTCATAGTCGCCGAGTATGTCAACCAAATTCAGAACAGGAGAAGAGCATTGAAGGTTGCTTCTGAGAACTCGGAAACCAAGGAGGACAACTGCGCTTGAACGCGTCGGTTACTCCCGGGAACTAGGACTGTATATTTCTCAAAAAAAGAAAAAAAAAAAAAGGCATATAAAACACTTGTGCCCGAGGTTTTTTTTTTTTTTTTTGGGGTGCAAAAATGTACCTTGGAGTTGATTTCTGTTGTTTTTCTTTAATGTGTCCTGGCCTGTAGCTTGGAGTGACATTATATTTGTCTTTCTTTCATATAGTTTTTTTTTTTTTTTTTTTTTTTTTTTGTTTTTTTTTTTTTCATTTGTACAGTATATTGGTATTTTGGTAGTGATGAAACAATAGATTGAGATTTTAAATGACTTTATCAAGTTCATTCTCTATTTCGTTTCAAATTTATTAAAATATATTAGTAATAATAATAATAATAATAATAATGTTTGCCTTGTTTAATTCAATAGCTTTGGGATTAACTTTTAGTTGTTTGACTTAATCTTTTACACCTAAAAAAGGGGCGCATATTTAAATTTGGAGTAATTTTTATCATTAAAAGGATCAAATAAACTTCTAAATTTTACTTGAAAAATTAATTAAATTTTTAAATTTTAAAAAAATACAATTACACTCTTTAATTATTGTATTCAATGTAATAAAAACAATTATTGTACTCCGTGTAATAATAATTCTTATAATTTGCAATTAGTTTTACTGCCATAAAGTATTTAATCAATATTTGACATGATATCAATTTATATTATATTTTGAATGGTAATATAGGCACACAACGTCAGCACTATAGAATTTTACGTTATTTGTATGAAAATAGTAAATAATTGAATATGAGGTGTTATTTAAAATTATTTGAGAGGTCAAGAAATAATTTCAGCACAAATAAGGGGTCTAAGTGAAACAATCCATTTTCTTTCGCAAGTCGGGTCGAGCCGCCCCTTTGACGATTCCATTTCAAATCAAAAAAGAGGAGTAAACATAAGCTAAGCTACGAGAGAGAGAGAGAGAAAAAGAGAAAGAGAAAGAGAGAGTAGTTATGGCTTGGCAAACGGCGAGATTGATCGCGAACGTGTCAAAGAAGGTGAGGCCTATCACGCAATCACCGCTGTGGCAGCAGCAGCAGCACCGACTATTCGGATCCCCGGCGCCGGAAGTCTTCGTGGACAAGAACACCCGCGTCATATGTCAAGGTATCACGGGGAAGAACGGCACCTTCCACACCGAACAGGCCATCGAATATGGCACCAAAATGGTATTTTCTTCACTGCTTTTGATTTTATTTGATTTTATTTTGCCTCAGTGATTTGTTAGATCTCTCCCTGGAACATATGTCTTGCCACTTTAGACGTGATCTTTTTTTTTTTTTTTTTTTTTTGAATGGAATTGTAATGAAATGGAGAAATGAAAATGTGTTATTGAAGGAGGAAATGTTATCGTGATCTTAAACCAATATAACTAAATTCTCCTTCATCAAGGGAAATAGCAAACTAGAGCGAAAGGGAGAAATCCATGCTGTGAAAATGAAATGAGCCTTTTGGGAAAGTTCTACAAAAATAATTTATTTTTTGAACTACTGTTGTGTATAGGCATAGCTGTGATTATTCAACCTTCATTTGTGTTATGAAACAAATATTTTAATGGGTGACATCGGAAGGTGGTGATGATTTTGCTAGTTGGTTAGATGAATTTGGCTGGAGATTTCAATATTTTCCATCTTATTAGATGGTTCATTTTGTTTTAAGAGTGCAGAATTGAAAATGTGGCTAATTTTTTGATAGTGTATGGAACATGCTATATTCTCATTCTTACTTTCGTATGCTTGATTAGGTTGGTGGAGTCACCCCAAAAAAGGGTGGTACTGAACACCTTGGACTTCCAGTTTTCAACACTGTTGCAGACGCAAAAGCTGAAACCAAGGCTAATGCTTCAGTTATCTATGTACCTCCCCCCTTTGCTGGAGCAGCGATTATGGAGGCAATGGAAGCTGAATTAGATTTGGTTGTGTGCATCACAGAGGGAATTCCTCAGCATGATATGGTAAGCAGCATTCAATAAAATTTGTTGATCATAGCTGACAAAGGCAGTCTGTTGATGAACACTCAGACGATGGCGTACTAATTGGATAGTAAGTATCATAGAAAACGGTAATTATTTAGATGACATAACAAAAGGGCCCTGTAATGTCTATGTTTAAAGAGTTACTCATTTAGCCACTGGAATTGGAATAAACATAAATTATTCTTAGCTTTTTTTAAGCTCAAAGCTCTGCAACTTGAATAGCCTAAAGTATGCTAAAACTGCCAATTCAAATGTACAGTTAAAGTATAAAGGCATTGAACATAGGACCTAAATGGCTGCTTGACATCATTGGTAATCCTGATTTTATAGCCTATAAGTGAGTTTATATTTTAGAACAAACTTTCTATTGTCGGAGACAAGTGATTTAGCTTTAAAAAATGACAACAATAATATGAAAATTGCATCATTGCCTCTATCTCAGACTTGATGAAGCCCGAAGGATACTCTAGCATCTTGATATTATCCTAAGACTTTTCCTAATTAATATGTAACTAAGCACTTTACCAGAGAAAATTCCCTGGTCTTGACTCTTGAATGAAGACTCCAAGCTACATTAGCTTCATGCAAGGTTGAATTGGGAATGATTGTTTACAAACAATAAGAAATTATGTGGGCACTAAAGCCTTCTCATATTATTTTTAACTGGTTTGCTTTAATTCTGTGGTTGATGTGAATATGCTTAAATATTTAATGTTTCTACAAATGAGATGTTTCAAGGTTATTACCCTCTAGTTTTGAGGTTTTTGGTACTGAGAGTCGATCTTGGGGAACCTTCTGCTTAGGGCTTTTGCTTGTACTTGTACCTTGCTTATTGCATTGTCTGTCTTTTCAACATCTTGATTCCATTACTGGGTTGTCTTTACTCATTCCAGAGCTGATAATTGCCAATTGCAGGTTAAAGTAAAAGCTGCTCTTAAACAGCAGACCAAAACTCGTCTTATTGGTCCAAATTGCCCTGGTATCATCAAACCAGGTGAATGCAAAATTGGAATTATGCCTGGATACATTCACAAGCCTGGACGTATTGGAATTGTTTCTCGATCTGGCACATTGACATATGAAGCAGTAAGATACTAAGATATGTTCTTATTGGAATATTGTTTTCATGTTCAATTGCATTGAATTCTCCAACTGTTTTAAATTTAGACTGTCTGCTGATAAATTGAGTTGGGCAAAATATTTTCTATGAGTTTCTATTTAATGTTGGATTTTGCTATATCAGTTCTTTCTTTCAATCTGTGCTTCTACATAACTGCATTTGATGTTATCTTTGAAAAGACACTTGGATGAAAAAAATCCAACAAATGTTTGGGTGGCCACCTACTGTTTTAGCCTGCCATAGTTATTAGCTTCTACCTAGCCAGCAAGTATGGCCCTTTGCCATCCACTTGACCATCACACTCATGGTCTCTAACTCATAAATCATTAAATTGTGACGTGGAATGAATATTGAAAAAAAAAGAGGGAACTTTGCCATACAATTTTGTAATGATTCCATCTCTTATGTTTTAGGTTTTCCAAACAACTGCTGTTGGCCTTGGGCAATCAACCTGTGTGGGGATTGGTGGGGACCCTTTCAATGGTACAAATTTTGTTGATTGCTTAGAGCGATTTGTTGCTGACCCACAGACTGAAGGTAAATATTTTCCTATAGTATGCTGTGGCCATCGTATTTGTCCTTTGGCATGTTATTATGTTTGTTTCTTGGAATAACGTTTTGTTTAGCTGGTTGTTTGCATTCTTTCTCTATTTTTTTCTATTTAATTAGTTTATAGCAGAATTAGAGTTTGAAGCCATTGTAAAGCAACAAATTGATGATCAGTATGTAACTGAATATTTGTTATGGCTTTTTTTTAGTCAGAACATTTGTTATGTATGTTCTACTAAGGTGCATAAAGTACCATTATGTGTGACATTCCCAAATCTTTTCCTTACACCTTGGTAAACTTCCACATAATGTTCCTGCATAGTGTATGTTGGCTATTCTATTGCTCCATCTTTGATATCACTTGCAGTTGAGAACCAACTTGCGTGTTCTATCCTTAATTTACCTTGACTCTTTCAATTGGTGAACAAAAATTTGATGATCATTAAGAAACTAATCTCTCATAATCTGTAGCACTAGAAGATGTATTGGAGTCTTCATTGTGACAACTTTTATAGATTCACTTATTTCTCTAATTTCTCAATGAAACATGTACTTTAAGGTTCACTTTCTGCTCTGCACCTTGGTATTTACATGCCAATTATAATTTTATGTGTCTGATTGAGAATGCTTTGGCCACCCTAGGTATTGTTCTTATTGGTGAGATAGGTGGTACTGCAGAAGAGGAAGCTGCAGCCTTCATAAAGGTGAGCATTGGATGTCATTTATTTGACACATTGACTAGGGATTTCATAAACCAAGAATTGTGAAGTACACTATGGAATATTGCTTGTGAAATATTGAGGGTAGATTTAGTTGAATGTACAAGAATGTTGAAGGAACAACTTCAATAAATTTCCACCAGATTTAATCATGTTGGGATTTTATTGCATTTGTCTACTTGTTGTTTACATCTTTAGGTTACAAGTCTTTGAAATATTTATGGTGCCTAAAGAATTGTAATTGTTATACATGTGGCAACTGAGATGTCTATATTGCAACTGGAACAGGAAAGTGGGACTGAGAAGCCTGTTGTTGCTTTTATTGCTGGACTTACTGCCCCACCTGGACGGCGGATGGGTCATGCTGGAGGTAATGTGTTGTTATCTACTTATGTGTAGTTGCATACTCAGTCTTGTGAATTGTGATATTTTCTTTCTTTACCCTGATAGGCTTTTTGGTTTTGGCCGGGGGTTGGGGACTGCAATGGCAGTAAAAGGGGAGAAAGAAAGATTTCAATGAGTTTCAATTGATGCAGAAATATTTGAATGGGAATGGAAAATTAGCTTGAAAAACATTTTGCATGCAATTAATTCCTACTTCTGTTAAGGGGAGGATCAAGAGAGAATTAATTATTTGCAATTGCTAATAAATTCCAGCTGGGGAAAACCTGTGTTCTAATCCAATATATTGCATGGATGTTGGCAGTTTACCTATATGGTGTCTGATATTTCAACATTTATGACTTGTGCAAACCCATTTTTGTTATGGTACTCAGAGTTTAATAATGAGGCTTAACCTGTATCTGTAGTGTTGAGTGATATTCTCAGCAGCTAGTTTAATATAGAAGGAAGTATTGAGGAGTGGGGAGAATGGAGGGATCCAAGTTCATGGTTGTGTTTACGTAAAGAAACAAACTATTTTACCCATGGCTTATGGATTTCTTGTTCTCCAGAAATTTTTGGATTTATTTTCACTATGCAGCTTTACGGTTTTTGCCTGCTATATTTCATTACCTGATTCCTTTATCTACTGTTTGGATATGCAGCTATAGTTTCTGGGGGGAAGGGTACAGCTCAAGACAAAATCAGGACCCTTAAAGAAGCTGGTGTAACAGTATGTGAATCTCCAGCAAAACTTGGAACCACAATGCTTGATGTCTTCACAAAGAGGGGTCTTCTGTAAAGCATGAGTGGATATTTTTGGTTCATGAGTTTCTTCTTTTTCCCCGATTTTATTTCTTTTTGACTTGTGGTATATCCAACCATCATTGAAACGCATTTATCTGTTAACAACGTAGATAAATACAAGGCGGCTGTGCTGTTTTCTAGCATTCTTTAAAAGCCTGAAGTGTTTGGTTTTCATAGTGCTTCGACTGTCTACCCTGCTCCCAATCAATGTCCTCTCCAGGGGCATTGGTAGCATGCAATTTATTTCGTCCCCCGTTGTAAACAATGACTTGCGTTTTTATTAGCTTCCAATAATGAAAAGAACAGCTTTGTGGAGTAGTTGGCATACTAGACTATTGTAGCTATGAACTGATGAAGCAGGTCTATTTTTTTAGTACAAATTGTTGAAACATGGTTAAATTTTTTTGTGCATGAGCTAAAAGTTTCCCTATTACAACAAGTATACAGGTATTGTTACTATCAGTTGGTTAACTTTTATATTATGATGATGTGAGATTGCAAGCTTTGTTGGAGAGGCATTAGCAAGATGAGGTCTTTCTATGCCATATTACATGTTATGGCAAATGGCAATGTTTTTAGGTTATTGGGTGAACACAAATGATCTTGGTATATTTGTTACAAGTTAATACAAAAAAAGTGTGTGAAGCAATAACGCACCATATTATATTTTTATGTAGTGGTGGATATCAAAGAATGTAGAATGATATGATGACTAGCATTTGCAATCAATCCAAGGATATGATAAAACGGGTGGGAGTTTCACCATCTTATGGAGGTGGTTCTACTCATACTTTTTACTCTATTTTTTATTCCATGTTGAAGTGTCATTTTTTGATTGATTTAAATAGTTTATTTATTTATTTTTATTTACCCAATAAAATTTGTACACGTGGTGAGAATTATACTCCATGAGATCACATATATCATTTTCCAATTGTTAAAGGATTTAGTTCTATAAATTACGTAATGATTCGAGTCGAGTTTTGACTGAGCAACTTGATTCAAAACCTCTATCAAGACAACCATGACTATCAAGATTCAAATCTAGACCTGGCTCTGTCTACCTCTAGACAAAGGTAGAGGGTAGAGGTTGCCTTTGTCAACATCTAAGATCCAAATTTGGACATCTTGAGAGAAATAATAAAAACAACATTGGAAAAAAAAAAATAGCGATTAGTCGCTAATTGACAACCACTCTTAACGTGTCTGTGGATGATGTTGGTGCGCACAACGTATACCAACTTGTTTATATTTTATTATTTTTCCTCTCTTATGAGCCTCATAAAAAAAAACCTTTATCTAAGGATTTTTTTTTTTAAAGAAAAAAGAGTAATAAATGCGTTAAGTAGGAGCATGCAGTTCATATGCTTGGTAGGTGCTATTGGTGTGCAAAATGCACACCAACTAGTTGTGTTGTTTCAATCTACAATGAAACACACAAAAAACTTAGGGTCCGTTTACTAACAGAAAACTGTTCTCTGTTTTCATTTTTTAATTTTTCAGTTTTCATTCTCTGTTTTCTGTTTAGAAAACTTGTTTACTAACATAAACTGTTCTCTGTTTTCTGTTTTCTGTTTTCTAATTTTTTAGTTTTCACCTAAAACTTAGTTTAGATAATATTACTCCGTAATATTTTTGAGCTAATATTTAAAATTTTTTTTTTTTTTTGGATATATTCATTTGAATGACATGTATATGAATATATAACTTTTACTTTGAATTCTGATATATGTGAGATTTCAATATCGGATATCTAGACCGAACTTGCATTATGATGTAACATAATTAAAAATATTCGAACTAATAATATATTGAGTTCAATCAAAATCTAAAACATTATATAGAGTTTAATTCTTAATTTTGATAATGTAAATAATGTCTAACTTAAAAGTGTAAGCAAATAAATTATGTTTAAATAACTAAAGTAAGTAGAAAAGATATAAAATAGTGATAAGTAAAATAAGATGATAATGAATGTAATCATAGTAATGTGGTTATAGTGACATATAACTAAATAGATGATAGATAAACGTTCCCTTATATTCCTACAACAATATCATTTTCATCTTTCATACTCTCCCTCCCCCACACCTAAAAAAAAATCACAAAAAACTTTATTACTGTTAATGGATTACTCTAACTCTCTTAAATTGCCATACAACTTTATTTATAAGGTAGAGAGAGGAGAGTGAAAAATGTTGCTAAATATCAATTTTTTGTTAGAAAAGAAAATATAAAAAAAGTTGCATAAGGTTATTATGCTTAACGTCGCATGCATGTAACGTGCTTTCTTAACACGTTAGAGTAGTTGTTAACTAAATAACACGTTAGAGTAGTTCTTAACACGTGAAATTCCCCCGGACTAAAACACGGTACGCCGTGCCGGTGGGGATGGGTCTTTGACTTGAGGGTAGTAGGGATAGGATAGGATAGTTGGATCTCCATGAGCTTAGGCATCGTTCCCATCACTTGTGTGGGACGGGGAGCCTATTACAGACGAGGTGTGTGGATGAGTTGGTGAGGTTTGGGCTTACAAGGCTTGAATTTACCTTTTGATCTCTTTTGTGAGCCATTTTGGCCTTTTGATTTTGATATAGTAGACTTAGATGGTTGGGAGCTCTACACTTTGATTGGGGGGTCACTTTTGGGCCACCTCTTGTATATATTTAGATGGTTGTTTTGTTTTGTTATGGTCGAAATGGCCAAGGACTTGATTTGAGCCATAGTCCACTTTTGGGGCTATGGCGTATGCTTGTAGACTCTTAGTTTTGAAATAGAATAAATGCACAGTTTAAAAAAAAAACATTTTAAAAGTTTTTTATTTGCACTTTGAACTTGTAAAATACGGAGTATCATATAACAATTTTTTTTTTTTTTTGGAAATCTTACATCTTACGAAAATCTTAAAAGGATCACTTTAAAATTTTACGGAGTAATAAAACGTACTCCGTATAAATGAAGAAATATGTATCGGATTCTACATTTCTAGTTTTTCTACGGTTGTACACCTGTGCTTGCGGATTCTTTTCAAGTGCTGTCTGCTTGCTTCAATCCACTTTCAAAATTCCCTCCTATCCTCGCTAGGGTTCCGCCGGAAATGAAGCGATCCTTAGACTACTACGAGCTTTCCGACGACGAAGGGGCTGAAGAACACTCATTCCACCTCTCCCGTGTCCTTAAAACTGATTCCGCACCTCCGCCTCCTCCAATCGAGTCATTCGCTTATTCCAAAACTGACACTTCTTCGAAGCGTTCCAATTCCAATGTTATTGACATCGACGACAGCTCTTCGGAGGAAATCGAGGATAAAGTGGAGAATTTAGACGACGACGATGATGACGGCGTTGACGAGGAGCTCAAGGCGGTGAATAAAATCCGCAGCCGTCGCAGGTTCGTCATTGCCGATGAGGATGAGGATGATTGTGATGAAATGAAGTCTGCGAAGAAGCGGCGGGAGGTTTCGGGGTTTGACGATGAGGATGAAGAGCTGGAACTGGAGTTGAACTCGGAATTCGAAGACGATGAGGAGGAGCAGGAGGAAGAGAAGGATGAAATCGACGTTGTTGCCAAGGCATTGCATAAGTGCGGTAAGATATCTTCTGACCTGAAGAGAGAGTTGTATGGCTCAGCAGGCGTGGCTTGTGATCGGTTCTCTGAAGTTGAGGAAGCTTCTTCACTGAGAATGGTTACTCAGGTATATACTATATTCGTAAAATTGGAAATTTGAAATGCAACCATGCATATTGCTTCAAGTTGGGAATATTTACCAATTATTCTGCTTTTGTACCAAGGATGATGTAAATGAGGCTTGTGCAGCAGGGGACTCAGATTTTAAGCCAGTGCTGAAACCTTACCAGCTAGTAGGAGTCAATTTCCTTTTTCTGTTATACAGAAAGAAAATTGGAGGAGGTATTTATTACTAAAAGTCCTTGTTTGCTTGTTAGTTGTTTGATGCCAGATACAGAAGAGAACTGGTCTCTTTTATTTTCTAGTTAAACTGCATGTGATGCCTGCTTTGAATTACTCAAACGAGTACATTTTGGGGGAGATAGAGCTTACTACCAAAGATTACAATTAAGTGCAAACAACAGAAGGCAAGAGAGTAGGGCAGGAGGCTAGATTTATCCTCTACAAACAAAGAGTATTGTCATCTAGAAATTCTAAAATGTGGAATCAATAGCTGATCAATTCTAAGAAAGGTTGAATTTACGAGGAAGCTGCATCTGAATGCAAAAAAAGGGTCATGATTTTTATTGGAACTTGGAAGCCTTCACAGTCTGCCACCTTGGTATCTTTACCGGTAGGATAGAGGAACATAGTAGCCATGATTCTGTGTGAAACTTGCTAGTAAAAATTTCAAAGAGTTATAAACGTGCTGCATCTGAAGGAGAAGAATAATCTATGCGTATTACGTAAAAATCTTAACAAATTCCTGTCTACCATAGGGCAGCAGAAAGTATTAAAACTGGTTTCAGGGGTCTCATCAAAACTTAAATTCTTAAAGAAAATCTCATTGTACTCTTGTCTCTTGAGTTAGAAAGCAGTTCCATTACTTCAATTTTTATTATTATTATTATTATTTTTTATTTTTTTTTTGTTTCTTTTTTCCTTGTTTTATTATTATTATTATTATTATTATTATTATTATTATTATTATTATTATTATTATTATATTATGATTATTATTAATTTATTTTTTTAAATTCACGTTTCTTGAGTTTTGCAGCAATACTGGCAGATGAGATGGGTCTTGGCAAGACAATACAGGTTTCTAAACCTTGTTTTTCTTTATCAGTTTTATGCTGTTTGTTTTAATGCCGAATAATCAATTTATCTTTCTTGTAGGCCATAACATACTTGACCCTGCTCAAGCATTTGGAAGATGACCCTGGACCCCATTTAATTGTTTGCCCTGCTTCTCTTTTGGAGAACTGGGAAAGGGAGCTCAAAAAGTGGTGCCCAGATTTCACTGTCCTCCAATATCATGGTGCTTCTCGTTCTGCTTATTCGAAAGATTTGAGCTATCAGGCGAAGGCTGGATTACCACCCCAATTTAATGTTATACTTGTGTGTTACTCACTCTTTGAACGACACAGGTTTGTCTCTTTTGAAATCAAGATGATATATTTTAATTTTTGGTATATATAAAATTAAATTTCTATCAAATTGGAATGGCTGCCTCCTGACTTTGTGGGCTATACATTTAATTAAAGATTCACTTTACTAATATATTTACTACATGGACTTCCTCAAAGTTGCAAAAGGCGCTAGGCGCTAAGCGCTAGTCGGGCACCTAGGTGGTGCCTCGCGGCTGACTAATTAAAAAAAAAAAAAAACAAACAAAAAACAGTAGCAGCACCGCAGCAGTGACAGTTTCCATTTAATATTGGCATTTAGCCATGAACTACAAATCTACAATATATATCATATATGTTTGTTTGTTTAATCTACTGTGTCTGTGAGTACATGCTGGCTCTGGCTGTTGACGATGAGGCTGGCGATGGGCGTGTTGGGAAATTGTTGTGTTTTTGTTTGTTTGTTTGTTTGTTTGTTTGTTTTTTTTTTTTTTTTTTTTTTTCAAAACAACGTCGTTATGAGCGAAAAAAAAAATCAATTAAAAAAAATAACTCAGCCGACTCGGGCGCCTCGTCGGCCGACTTGGGCACCTTGTTGGCCGACTAGCAAGCGCCTAGGCGACTGCCTAGCCGATTTTTGCAACACTGGACTTTCTTGCATCAAATATGAATGAGTAGGATCAATCTGTATTTTTAATTTATACTCCATATCATGTACTCATCAACCCAAGTACCCAACTATAACATGATCATCTCTTGTTATAAAAGGAAGGGAATACTTGGCTGACCTATAAGGCTTTAAGCACAAAATGGTTCATTTTAATGGTTGTCAAAGTGTCATATCTAGATATCTAATTTCATTAATGTTATTGAACTTTCATATCTCATGTCTTACACTTAACAAAAAGAAAAACATGTCTCATGTTTAAAACTTATGCGCAGTGCACAGCAAAAAGATGACCGCAAAGTTTTAAAGCGGTGGCGATGGAGCTGTGTTTTAATGGATGAGGCTCATGCTTTGAAGGATAAAAATAGCTACAGATGGAAAAACTTAATGTCTGTGGCACGAAATGCAAACCAACGCCTAATGCTTACAGGGACACCACTACAGAATGATTTGCATGTATGTTAACTGTTTGTATTCCTTTTCTCAAATTGTGAGTATGCACTACATAACACCATGTTTTAGTTGTTGCTTCATAGTGCATTTACACTTTCAAATATATAGCTCATATTGCACATGGAATGCAAACCAATGCATAATGATAGTCTGAAGTCTGAAGAAGTTGGCTCAAGAAGTGAAGGGTACTTTGCCCTCATGGGGCTCTGAGATTGTCAATGCTCAATTTGTGCATCTCTTATATGGCTATTATTGAAAATGTGATGCATTGTTTAATATGGTTTATTGTCATTCCCAGATTGTGGTCTAAATGTTTCACTATACAGTTCTTGCTTCTTATATCTTCTGTTCCTATTGCTCTAAAATCAAATTTGAGCTTTGAATGTAAATGGTGCTCTTAATAAGCTGTTTTGTTAATTGTTATTCCCCAACGATTTTCTGCATAAATGTCCTTTCTGACTTCTTATTGTTCTTGAATTAGTAAACTGATGAACTATGCATTATAAATTTTAATACCTGATTCTATGAATGAGTGAATCTGTGATTTGCTTTGCTTTGTTTGAAGTATTGTGGCAATTATTTTATGAATGAGTAATGGATCTCCTGGATTCTTCTGAGATGTTACTTAGCAAATCAATTTTATATGTTTATGCAATTTATGGTATCTTTTCATATGAACAATTCTTTATTTTTGGTTTGACTTTTTTCAGTTAGTGGTTTTCCATTGCAGGAACTATGGTCTATGTTGGAGTTTATGATGCCTGATCTATTTGAAACAGGAGATGTTGATTTGAAAAAACTTTTAAATGCAGAAGATAAGGAATTAATTGCTCGAATAAAATCTATACTAGGACCATTTATTTTGAGAAGATTGAAATCAGATGTAATGAAGCAACTTGTACCTAAGATTCATAAGGTATCAAATATTCTTCATTTGCAATCTACTTTAACTTTCCCATCTGAAAGAACTTTTAGTTTTGTTCTTTTAACGAATTTCCTGATTAAATGTTTTCTTTATTCTATTGACTCGTTTTATTGGAAACATACACGGCAGATTCATTATGTATATATGGGTAAACAACAGGGAGGCTTGTATAAAGAAGCAATTGAAAATTACCGTGCAGCTTCTGAAGCTCGCACGCCGAAGCTATCAGGAACTGATTTGAATAATGCTGTTGGTATTCTTCCTCGAAGACAGATATCAAACTATTTTCTTGAATTCCGCAAGGTGCTGAAAGCTTTTGAGCTATATTGATAATTTTCATAGATCCTGTTACTATAAATAAAGGCTTTCTTATTGCTGGAGACCTTATCTTTCAGATTGCAAATCATCCATTGCTAGTAAGGCACTTTTACACTGATGATGATGCTATTCAAATAGCAAAAATGTTGCACCCAAGAGGTGTCTTTGGTTTTGAATGTACTTTGGACAGAGTGATTGAAGAGCTCAAGGGTTATAATGACTTCTCTATTCACAAGGTATTCTTTTTGTTTGGCTTCCATAGGGTGCACAAAGAATGCTGAGTCTTTCATAGTTTAGAGATTGTCCTATCCTTGAAGGTTCTCTGACTGAAGGAGAGATTGTGTGACTATATTATCTATGATGGGACACATGAGAAGTGTGGGTAGAGAAATAACATTAACGCCCTGGTATCTATGCCATAAAACTCAATTAGCTATATTTTTTTGTTTGCATCAATTTTCTATTGGACATCTTGAAATCTGTAAAGAAAAACAGTGGTTTGTCTTATACAGTACACAATAGAAGACACTATTTTGAAGTATAAAGATGGTTGAATTATATTAAGAGTTAATTCCATTTTTGGTCCTAGATTTATAGGTGTCATTTCACTCTTTGTCTTTTAGGCCTGTTGGACAACTGGTTGCAGAATGGATTTTGTTTTGATCTTAATTCCTGAATCTGAAAAAGCTTAGGGCCTTATGATAATTTATCTAAGCAGCCTAGCTGTCTTACTGATCAAATTAATTCCAATGCCCAATCAAATGAATGTAAGTACTTGTTTTCTCCCAATTTATATGACACCGTTTGACTGGGCAGAGTTAAATAAAATTTGAAAGGTTCACCTTGTGAACTGTCAACAAAGTCCATGTTCATTGAATTTTATTGTTTGATAAGTGTCTAATTCCATCTGCTTATAGGAAAGCCACATTGCTGATTCAGTTACGTATATATTTTAGTTTTATCAGTATGTATGCATTGGAATTGACATCCTCTGCTTCTTGCAGCTTTTACTTTATTATGGTGACAATGGTACAAAGGGAATTCTTTCAGAAGAACATGTTATGAGTTCAGCAAAATGCCAGGTACACCGTATGGTTTTGAAATTTGAGAAGTTGCCACTTGGTTTAGCTAATATTTATGATGAAATAATAATTCAAGGAGCTTTTTGCTGTAGGCACTAGCTGATCTCCTCCCTTCCCTAAAGCTATCAGGGCATCGGGTTCTTATATTTAGCCAATGGACATCAATGCTAGATATCCTTGAGTGGACGTTGGATGTCATTGGAATCACTTACAGGCGTCTTGATGGAAGGTACTGTACCAATGCTTGCCCCAATTCTTCAGATTTCTTTTGATTGAAGTTGGAATGCTAATTTTACTTGTATTTGTTATCTCAGTACTGCGGTGACAGAGAGACAAACTATTGTAGATACCTTCAATAAGGACACTTCGATAGATGTATGCTTGCTCTCCACGAGGGCAGGGGGACAGGGTTTGAATTTGACTGGTGCTGATACTGTAATAATACATGATATGGATTTTAATCCCCAAATGGATCGGCAAGCTGAAGACCGCTGTCATCGCATTGGACAGACAAAGCCAGTTACAATATTCAGGTATTTTTGTCACACTCATCTTTTCCTAAAGCATTCGAATTTCACGCTGCTGATATACTTTTGTTGACTTCCCTCTTCAAGACTGGTGACAAAAGAATCCGTTGATGAGAACGTATATGAAATTGCAAAGCGAAAACTCACATTGGATGCAGCCGTTCTTGAGAGTGGAGTTGAAGTGGAGAATGAAGGTGATATGTCTGTCAAGACTATGGGAGAGATTCTATCATCAATGTTACTTGGCTGATCAATTTCAGCAAGCCCCATTTCATTCTGCTTTTCCATTCTTTAACTAACTTTATTAATCGGCGGGAGATAAACTAGATAGCATTGGGTGCTTGTAGCAGGCAGGCTAGTTTTCCATATGTATCCAGTTCCCTCCCCTATATGATATGGGTCATGCTTCTAAAGGTCACATGTTCTACTAGATGTCTAGATGCATAGTAATTGTACTTTATGACAGTGGGTACCAGTGGGAGCTTGGCTCAATCTTTTCTTTTTTTGGGTTCCGCTATAGGAAATGAAGAATTAAATTTAGCCATTATATAGAGTGTCGTCTTATATTTTTGAAGTACAAGATCTTTGGCAGCTTTATATTTTTTATTATAATGAAGGGGATACCCTATATACACAACTATTTGCCTTAAGTGAGGTTCGAATCTTACACCTCCCACTTAGGGGAGCAATCGGATACCAGTGGACTACAAGCCACTTGGTAAGGCAGCTTTATATTTAGTCGGGCTATTCTCCAATCTCCTTCGGGAAGTATTATTCATATTGAAAACATTGGATTACTTGTGAGTTGTCCTTCTCTTGGAGCGAGATTTTAGGGTGATTGGTAATATTATTTATAGATAAAAAAGTTTAATACATATTATTTATATCATTTTTTCTTAATGGGTGCGCATCACATCATGAAGACGACTAATGCTTATAGTTAGTTGGAGTACATGTGTAATTGTCTACATTATGGTATTGCTTCCTTCTGATGTCCATCATGATAGAAGACTTGAGTCCACTAATGAAAACGTTGCATTACGTTCCACCCTGTTGTCGTCAACGACCGCTACCTATAAATCTCCTCGGACAGCCAAAGAAAGAAAGAACACATTTCAAAGTATACATGCGTACCTGACCGTTTGACCAAGTTAGCCACGATGACCAACCACCAATCTTGAATTCTAGAATGTCAAATGCTCCATACTACACCATTCAACCTTCTAAGCCCATGTATACTAGTTAAGCATATTATATCATGTCTCATGGCCTACATTGCAATGTAACTTAAAGAACTTGGAATTGAAACTTTTCTTGTGATCACTGATAATGCTCTGAATAAAACTCATTTTGTGATCACTGATAAGATCGACCAGTAGATCGCTTTCATTGGGGGTTGAACTTGGAATCTTGTCTTGTGGTTATATATCAAGAGGTCAACAACCCATCCAACTCAGATAGAGTGGTTAAACTAACAACATTTTAGTTAGTAACCTTACCAGTGACAGTGTGGTAGCAACCTCTCAAAGTGAGGGGCTCCTTGTGCGCCGTAAATAAAGGTCTAGCCTCTATGGTTCGATTGAGTTACCATGATTTACATCCTCCCAGATGCTCTGTCGTGTCGGGGTGTGAGAGCCCTTGGAATTGGGGATTCAACCTTTTAGGAAGAACTAACAACATTTTAATTGTCGATAAAATAAATGACATGTATGTATATATATTTTTTTAATTTTCAAAATTAAACTTCCATGTCATATAACGTAGGCGGTGATGCGCTTCAATTCAAATCCTGAATCTTAATATTACTAGTGTTTTTGTCCATTTTCGAAACGACGAATCATATGAAACAAATGGATGGATAGAGACTAATAATATTTTATAAGATATGGCTTATGTATGCATCACATGTTGGGTTATAATATTATATATTTAGCAAGAAATTTGGACCCAACAACTACATATTGTGCATAAATCAGTGTTTGTTTGTTCATTAAAATTGGGTGCCAAATGTTGTCTGCTTTATGGCTGCCCATTAAACTTGGAGCTTTCAGATTTAAAGTTCAAAAAGTATGTTCTTTCTTATCTGTCGTCGCTTAATCATATCGCTTATATATACGTGCATACAATTTTATGCTATCTAACCACGTCACTTCTTACCATAAACACTATCAATTATATATATATATAACTTGATTGATAATTTAAATATCATTGGTAACGATATTATTGATGACCACTTTTCTGAATATATAATGCATGAATATATGCAGTTTATCTTTGTCCAACTAGAATTATGAACTTTAGATTAAAACAATGAGATACAGAATTCATATTCGTAAAGTATAAAATTTCATAACACAAAATAATTAAAAAAAAAAAAATCACAATACAAGACACATAGTATAGCATTATGGATTTTGAATTAAAAAGACGAGATACAAAATTTATACATGTAAGATACATAATTTCATAATACAAGACACGGAAAATCATAATACAAGAAACATATGCACAAGTTATATATTTACTTATTTTTCAAATCTGATTTAGGTACATGATTTGTGTTCATAGGCACACAAATTCATAATATAAAACACAATTATTAATTTGTTCCAGGTACAAAATTCATACTCTCAAACAAAACACATACACATGAACCATGGTTCATAGTGCATTGTGCACCCTGGTCTATGATATAAGGATTGTCTTTCATGAGTAGTTTGAACTTTGAAGGCTATTACATAGGAGCGAGGTTTACTAAGCAGGGCCAACCCTGACCATGTGCAGTCAGGGCGACAACATAGGGCCCCCAATTTATGGGGGCACAATTTTTTTAAATATATATTTTTGATATAATCTATTATTTTTATACTTGATAATTATTATGATTTTAGAATTCATAGATTAGTTTTAATTGCAATTGAAAATAAAATTTTAGAAGGAAGTGGTATCAAAATTTTGGTGAATGATTTTGTATTTAAATGTATCATGAAAAATTTTTGAATTGTATTTTTTTTCTTTGTTAAATTTTTATGCATTATACTTTGACAAATTTTTTTACATTTTTATTTTTGTTATAGCATACAATAATTTGAAGTTCAAGTGGATGTGGACTAAATTACTTCACAGTTATATAAATATTGTAGACTTATATCTTTATTTTTCAAAGGTTTTATGAAATTATGTTTCTTATTTTTATAAATAGAGATCTCTATGTATCATTGTAGTGGATAATCTAAATGTTAGAAAAAAAATCATCTCCCTCCCCTTATGTTCTTGTTTATCCATTATTGTCTTTCTAACTTTACTTGCATCCTGAAACAAGAAGGAAAATGGTCCATAATAACGATTCAAATTAAACTATTTGATTATCGACAGTAAAGTTATTATGAGGCAAATTCAGGATTGGGATATCTTTGCTGCGTATCCAACTCACCAACTGGCCTTCTGGTTCATGCTTTTCTGCACTTTGGAGAAAACCCATTCAAGCCTCAGCTCCACTCTGCATTAACTTAATTAATTAATAATTACTATGTGAATAACTGAATAATATAATATTGATATGTTGGTGATAATGAACCAAAAGTCGATTTAATATCTCAAAATAGTTGTAAGTGTACAAATGATACACATTAAACCCTTTTATGTTGACTAATTTAATTGACAAAATAATTAAAATTTATTTTGGAAATTAACCTATGGACCGTCTCCTATCACATGCATTCTACAGCAATAGCAATAATTAGGCGCAAATAATTAAGTGGAAGTCGAAAGTATGGGTCTGATATTTAGTCAAAGGATGGCTTATTTATTGTGATGGTAATTTATTCTATAGTATGGCTTTGAGTTGGTAAAGGCGTATGGATAGCACATATTGGGGAATTGGTTGAGTGAATTTTAATATAAAAGGATGGAATGCTTACCTCTTTATATTGACACGAATTAGAATATTATTATTTTTGAGAGGATGTTTCCAGAATCACTACTTCAACAAATTACTTTATACTATTGTTAAGGAAGTGTTGATCGTACTGGGTCAGTTCGACTGCATCAGGATCAGCAGCATCAACAATTGAGGTCAATGAAGGCATGCACGTACAATCCTGAGTAGATGTTAGGAAGGTGTTGTAGTGGTAAAGGCTGAGGGCCGTTTGTACTTACCTCTTGTAATACTCCTTGGTGAACATCTATAGTGGATTGAGCAGACGTGAGTTGCCCCGTAGACGTAGGAGAAGCGCTCCGAACTGCGTGATCAATCTCTGAGTACTTGTTTTATTTTTATGCTTTTTATATTTCGTTATTTATGTTCATTGAATAACTTAATTAATTGATAATGTAATATCTCTTATAAAACAAGTAGAACATTAAAGGTATAATTGAATTCAAGATTCACGGTGCAATTTCAATTGGTATCAGAGCCTGTAGACTTAATTTATTAGTCTATCGATCTGGCTATTCCGTGCTTCTTGAACTCAAGATTTCAGCAGCTTTTATTATTATTGTTTGTTATACTATTTTGTTCAATCTCACTGTTTATTTAGTGTTTCAGAATGGACCCTGTGAAGGTTCTTCCCCAGTTGACAGGCGACAACTATGCCTATTAGAAAGCTCGCACACGTACATATCTTAAGGCCCAAGGAGACGCTGTTTGGCGGTCCGTGGTGACAGGTTAGACTCATCCGACTAAAGCCAGTACCAGTGATGATGGAACGCGAGTAACTAAACCTGAAACCGAATGGTCCCAAACTGAAATAACTAATGCTGGATATAACGATAAGGCCTTAGATACGATTTACTCCCTTATGCATGAAATTCAGTTTTCTATAGTTGTAGGTATTGATTCAGCTAAAGGTGCTTGGGAGGCTCTTGAGTCAACTTACGAAGGAACTACGTCGGTGAAACAATCAAAGTTGCAACTGGTTCAGTCCGACTTTGAAGAGCTTCGGATGAGACCATCACAAACTTTCACACACGCGTACAGGAACTGGCGAATCGTGCAATGGTCCTTGGTGAACCGTTCTCGCAAGCAAAGCTTGTTAAGAAAATACTGAGATCCTTACCCCCGAGGTTCAGAATGAAAGTCACGGCTATTCAGGAACACGCCGGCTGGGAGAACAAAACTGTTACTCAATTAATGGGAAATCTTAGAACCTATGAAATGGAAATTTTAATTGATCACACGAAAACGAAAAAATAAAAAAATATAGCTTTTGCCGTTGAAGAAAATAATGTTGTATCTGATTCAGACGAAACAGGTGATGATACAGTTGTCTTTTTGACTAAACAGTTTTCTAAAATTTTGAAACAGGTATCCAAAAATTCACGCAACAAAAATCCACAAAGAGAAGCAACATCGTCCAAAGCTGGTCCCAGGACAGGTTCGTCAAACTTCAAACAGTCTGTCTCACGTCCAGGACAGTCCAAAGAAAAACCTAACAATAAAGGAATCAAGTGTTATGAATGTGAGGGCTTTGGACATGTACAAGCAGAGTGTGCCACCTACCTTAGACGCAAAAAGTCTATGTCAGCCATTACCTGGAGTGA